AGTTTAACTCATAGAAATAAAAAGTGGAATGGTCATTGCCAGGGACTTGGGAGATAGAGAAACACAGAGTTGTTCAGTATATATAAATTTTTTTTAAGATTACCTCTGTGTGGATCCAAAATAGGTAGAGGAAATTTAACTGAAGATGAACAGCATATACGGAAGGAGGTTTGCAGAGGGCCCTACGAGAGTAGAAAATCTTTAAAAACTTTTAAAAGATTAATTTACATGTATGATTTTTCAAAATAAAGCTTTACTAATGGTTCAATAATCATAACATATATTTGTTCAGAAAATATATCTTGTTCTATACTTTATAGAGAATATATTTGCCTTCATAACATTAATTAGTCCCATGGCGATAAGACTACAGGCATGTTAGAGAAAAATCTACTAGACTTCTATTTTCCATTTAATGTCTAGTTATCATATGATGTTTCCTATTTCTTTCATTTTGAAAGGCTATTCATGTTTCCTGGAAGTAGAAAGATTTCTAAGATAAACACAACTCATGAATCATGAGCCTTCATACTTCAACAACTCCCAAATTATATATTGTTAGAATATTTTGGATCATGAAATGAGATTATAAAAGAAAGTCACTTCATAGGATAGAATTTTCAGTTTAAATTTGTTTTCATATGATTGAGTAAAGGCGTTATAGCTCCTAACTTTTTAAACATTAGTAAAGTAGGAGGTATATCATGGGGCCATGGTATAGACAAATTATAAAGAAAATGGCTCTGCCTTGGAGTAACAACTTTTTCTAAACCCATACAACTGCTTAGAATCAATGAATAAATATGATCTGCTGCATTCTCCTAATGACTTTGGTCCCCATGAGTGGTTTCATGTTGGAAGGAAACATTTTATTAAACAAAAAATGAAACAAACAAATAACTAAAAGACTCATATACAATTTCCATTTGGATTTTACAGATTCCATATTTCTAAAAGACTGGATTTTTTTTTTTTTTTTTGGTACTGGGGATCGAACTCGGGACCTTGCGCTTGTGAGGCAGTTGGTGAAACCACTGAGCTAAATCCCCAGCCCAAGATTGGATATTTTTTAAAAACTCTTCCTTCTGAATATTGCATTTTACTTCAAAATTATTTTAAAGATTTTTGTTCTCATTACATAAGTATCATTTCAAGGATGTTTATTAATGATTGTGCATTAGGAATTCGGTTTTAAAAACTTGGAGATTCTGTTATGAATAATGTCAACGTCCTTTATGGTTGAGTAGTATTCCATTTTATAAAAAAATATCTTCTCTATCCAGTCACCAGTTGATGGGCAATTGGGCTGTTTCCAAGTTTTGGCTATTACAAACTGTGCCGCTATGAACATGAACGTGGGTGCACCTATATCACTGTGGTATGACGCTTTTAATTCATTTGGGAAGATCCCCAGCAGGGGAATATGTGGGTCAAATGGGACCTCTAGTCCTAGTCTTTGAGGTATCTCCATACTGATTTCCACAGTGGTTGCACCAGTCTGCACTCCCACCAACAATGGAGAAG